AAAAAAAAAAGAAAAAAACAAAAAAAAAATCGATTCTGAGATTTCCAGTTTTGACTACAAGATTAAAAAAAAAAACAAAAAAAAAAAACCAATCACTAATAATTAATTTCAAATTTCACACGAGGCTTCGTTTTTAAAAAAAAAAAGTGGTTCGGCGGCGGGAAGTACGCACACGTTCTTAAACCCTAAAGCTTATCCTAATTAACTCAACCGACGTCTTCGCCCGAACCATGAAGAGGGCGGAGCTTCGGCTGCTTTTATTCCTGAGGTAGAGCTTCCGCGCCTGAAGTCCAGCCCTTCGATAACCTCGCAATGGACGGGGCGAAGCTCGGACGTAGCCTCGACGCGCTCGTCCTTCGCGAAGGAAACGCGTTAGCTTATCTTTATAACACTTTGACTTGAGGGAGGACCGCCCGGTGGCGAAGATTAGCCTTTCACGTTCCCTTTGTTGCCGTTGCTACATTCATTCGTCAAAACTGCGACTCGTTGCTCCACCAACTTTAATTCAGTTCGCGGAGAATTTCTTTAAAATCGGAGAACGTAATCGATCGACTAGTAAAAAGCCCGCGGCGCCACTTTTTATATAAACCTCTATACGTGAAGTTATAGTTTGAGTTGACCTTTAAATCCCTCCCCCGATTCGTTTTGACGTAACAGAAGCGCTTCGGCGCGTCCTAACACTGATTCAACTGAGCGAACTTCGCTCCTTGTTCGTTTCCCGGGATTAAACCCAGACTGGAGTTAAAGGAGCGATGAGAGTCAAACAAAAGCGATGAAAATAAAAAAGTTTCAGTGGAACGTGGAGAACGTTGGGAAACAAAAAGGGAGCTTTTCTATGGCCGTGAGCGCTCCCGATCCAAGAAATAAAAAAAATACATCTGTTTGGTTTGACGGTTTCCCGTTCAGACTGCAGAGGATTGGTAATTGTTCTGTTTGCAGCTCCGCGTCGAGGAGAAATTCAGATTTTCCGTGTGTGGAACAGGGGTTTGGCAAAGTTAGACGAGTTTACCAGATCAGCAGGGGGAGCCGAAGATGTGTCAAAATAAAAGAAGCCAAGAAGCCGGAGTCGTTTGGGGTAAAGTTCAGGAGCTCCTCCTGAAAATAAAAAACCTAAAAGTGATGGCAGCGTGCTCACATGGACTCGAACTCGTCGATGCGCTGCTTCGTGTTGCCCTGCCGGATCTGCCGCAGCGTTTTGTACTTGTCTCGGCCCGCCTTTACGTTCTCGGCGTGCAGCACGTCGTTCTGCGTCTTCTTGGTTTCGTCTCTGGCCTCGGCCAGCTCCGAGCTCAACGTCTGGGTGCAGAGAAGACGGGAAGACAGGAAGTTCAGGAGGAGGAACATGAAACGAGTAAAAGACGAAAGAGGGGAAAACTGAAGCACGAACGTCAGGACAGAAAGCTCGACGGTCCGAAGAGTCGCTGCATCTTTTTCTTCGGCAAAATTTATTTTAAGCAAAAGCAAATTGAACAAATCAGAACCGCTGGTCCATGAACGCATCGTATGAACCAACGCCTGTTCTCTGTTCACATTATTTATATCGGTGAGGTGCAAAACGCAACAAGTTGGAGTTTGTCCTTTAACGACAAACTAATTCTGCTTTAGTCGGGTTTTCTTTCATCAAGTGGAAAATATTTATTCAATCCAACCAGAAATAATCTGGATTATCGTTCATGAAGCGTTCACTCTGTTCCGATCAAGTTTTCTTCCGTACGACTCGTCCAACAGTTTTCAGCCATTTCATCAAATCATGCATCAAAACGTTCAGCTCTTCCACGACAATCCTGATGTGACTTCTGGTATTGGTGCAACTTCAGCTTTTTGGAATATTTTAGCCTTTTCTGTCATTTTTTCCTCGTAGAAAATGAATTGAGCTCATTTTACATCCTTCAAATCTTTAGCTCCGTTTACAACCTTTTACTTCAGCTTCTTTCAGCTACCTGCCGCACATTTAAACTGTTTTTCTGCTACTTTCAGTCGTTTTCAGATTCGTTCGGCTAACTAGAACATTTTTGTGCTTCCTTTAACTTCTTTCTGCTTCTTTCAGCTTACTTCTGCAGGTTTCAGCTCCTTCTGCTATTTCAGCTACTATTTAGCTATTTTTATGCTAATTTAATCTTTTTCATGTAATTCCACATTTTTTTGTACTTATTTCAGCTTAATTCAGCAAAAATGAGCTCTCTCCACTTCCTTCTGTTAATTCAAGCTGCTTTCTGATGTTTTAGCTTTTTTGTTTTTTGGCTAATTTCAGCTTTTTTCAGGTAATTGTCATCTTGTTGTGCTCATTTCTGCTTCTTTCAGCAAACACATTGTTTCTGCTTTCTTCTGCTAACTTAAGCTTGTTTTACTTTTTCAGGTACCGTTTTAGCATTTTTTTTTAGCTAATTTCAGCTGTTTTAAGTTTTTCATGGTAATTTTTACTACTTTTGACCTAATTAACTTCGTTATGGTAATTTCAGTTTGTTTTGCCCCTTTAAGCTTTTTCTGTTATTTCAGCGACTATTTAGCTGTTTATGCTAATTTTAGCCTTTACAGCTAATTCCACTTTTTTTTTTTTTGCCATTTTCAGCTTTTTCCACTTCCTTATGGTAAATTCAAAAACGTTCAAGACAAGAACACCTAGTTTAAGCTTCTTTCTGAATTTTCAGCCTTTTTTGTGCTAATTTATTCGTATTTAAACAGAATTCAGCAAATATGTGTTCTTTCGGCTTTCTTCTGCTAACTTAGGCTTGTTCTTCCATTTCAGCCGTTTTCAGATTCTTTCGGTTAACCAGAACATTTTTGTGCTTCTAACATCTTTCTGCTCTTTTCAGCTTATTTCTGCAAGTTCCAGCTTTTTCTGTTATTTAAGCTACTTTTTAGCTAATTTAATATTTTCCATGTAATTCCACATTTTTTGCACTCATTTCACCTTTTTTTTTTTTTTAGCTAATTTCCTAATTTTTGTGCTTATTTCTGCTTATTTAAACCTAATTCATCAAATATGTGTTCTTTCGGCTTTCTACTGCTAACTTAGGCTTGTTCTTCCATTTCAGCACGTTTTTAGCTAATTTCAGCTGTTTTTCAGCAAGTTCTTCTGCAATAAGAATTCACACTGTATTTCCTGTGAAAATGCAATTCCTCTAAGTTTTGTTTACTTTCAAAATCCGCGCACCGACTTTAGCTCCGTTTCACCCCAGACGTGTCGTACCTGCAGCTGCTGCTTCACCCTCTCGTTCTTCTGAGCCTCGGTGACGCGCTCCTCCTCGCTGCGGAGGTCCACCTGGCTGACGCCCTCGTTCGAAAGCTCGGCACTGGCCTCCGCGTGGTTCTCGTCCTGCTCGTCGTGCTCGGCCTGGCCCCCCGGAGGAGCCGGCACCGCTGTCATGGCGGTCTTCAGCTCCTCCTTGGTCTTCTCCAGGTCTTCCTGAGCAGTCAGAGCCTGCCGGGGGGTGGGGGGGGGACATCATGCATAGTCAGACAGACGCAGCTTCTACTACCAACACAAACATAAAGTTGGGTCCAGTTCATCGTCATGTTCTCGCTCACAGAACCAGATGATGGACCCGCTGACCTCATGCTCTGTTCTCACCTGTGCACAATGGAGTGGGTCAAAAAGGCTCAAATCAGTTAAAACCACAACTGAGCGACTGACGAGCCTGATTCTGTCAGACATTAACAACCTGAGTTTAATCCTAATCTCCGATCGAAGCGGAAGATGTTTTCAGAGTGAATCTAAACGCGTCGGACACGTGCGGCGTCGTTTTCCCACTTCCTGTCTGCCGCCGCCTCGCTGTGCGTCAAAAAGGACGTCCCCGTGAACGCATCGGGCTTTCTGTTGGCAGTTTGGAAAATAAACTTGGCGGCCAGAAGCTGAAGCTGACGGCCCTTCTTCCATCTTGGAGGACGATCTGGGCCGTCGTGTTTCTGGGAAGTTGCTGCGTGAAAACAACCGGCGGGTTCGGATTTTAGTCGAGTCGCAACAAACCAACCCAGAAAGAGTTGCACGTGAATTTGTGATCACTTCCTGTCCACGAGAAGTTACGAGTGTGCACGTGGTCTGCGCTTCCAGTGCGTGCTGTTAATGACTCTCAGCTACTACCACACCAGACTTGAACTCGGCACCTGGAAATCCAGGCCGTCGCAGCCATCTTGAATTCAGGCGACTCCAGAAGTTCAGATTTACGTCCAGTGCTCGCTACTCGAGTTCAGTCAACATCTGTCCAGGTATTTTGCTAACAGACGCGATGAAGAACGGGGGGTACCTTGTGCTGCCACTCTGTGGCCTCCTCGTCCTTCTTCCTCTTGGCTTCTTCCAGAAGAGTGATCTTTGCCGTGAACTCAGCCAGCTCAGAAGCCTGGAATTAAAACGCACATCGTGTAAACGCTAACGCACACCAGAGTAACAACATCTGGCACATCAGACCGCGCCGCAGGTGTGAAATAAAAACCCACCAGTTGCTCCTGGGTCTTCTGCTGGTCTGCAGCCTGTCTGGCCAGCTCTGCCTTGGCCTCCTCGGCCGCTCGCCGGTCTCTCTCCAGCCTCTCGGCTTCCTCCCGGGCCTTCCTTCGCTCCTGCTCCAGCTCCAAGGCTCGGTGGGTCTGCTCCTCCAGCTCTGGTGGACACATTCACAGCATGAACTTTTCAGCACTTGCTCAATTCAACTTAACTGGGGACAACCTAGTAAGGCAGCACCCATTATTATCCACCTGACAAGGGTTTCTTAACTTTATACAACTTACTCTTCCGTCAACTTTAATGCAGCCCGAACTGCAACATGTACTCCCACAAATACATCAAAATGGCCGGCTCGGCGCTGTGATGTGTGCCATTACTTTTAATGGCGTTTCGAGTTACCATGGCGACATAATTTGCTAACAAAGACGTAAATTTTGTCAGATTCTGGTTACAAATCAAATATCCAAGATGGCCGCCAGAGCTAAAAAGGAAAAAATACTGTAAATCAGTCATTTTTAGAGGTATTAAGCTGAAATTTGGTGTGGTAGTAGCCGAGAGCAATGAGAAACTTTGACGGGGACTGCAAGGCTGCTGCCGATTTAAAAATTTGAGTACCATGTGTTCTTTCTCAGCTAACACTATACCAAGTTGGAGCGGACTAGCTCTAAAAATGCCTGAGTTATCGCATTTTTCCTTTTTAGCTAAGGCAGCCATCTTGGATTTTTGATTTTCACTCCGAGTCTATTAGGGACCATTCTCAGCTACCAATACGCCAAATTTCAGTTGAATAGCTCTAAAAATGGCCGAGTTATCGTATTTTTTCTATTTTAGCTAAGGCGGCCATCTTGGATATTTGATTTACATTAAGAATGAATAACAACTCGCTCTCAGCTGCAATCACAATAAATTTCAGCTCAATATCTCAAAGAACGACCGAGTTATAGTCAATTGTGTGTTTGCTGAGGTAGCTGTAGCAGCCATCTTGAATCAAAATGGCTCCAAACGTTAATCAGTTCTCCACATTTATCTGATGATTACTTTGTGAGTTTCAAACAAATCCAACAATTAGCTTCAGTTTTCTTCAGGGACCTCTACACTCTAGGTCATGTGACTTGACAGCAGCAGATAGTATGATTAATGTTCAGTCAGGGGTTTTATTTGGGGAAATATGGCGTCTTTGTTAGCAAAATGTGTCGCCATGGTAACTCAAAACGCCATTGAAAATAATAGCACACATCACAGTGCCGAGCCGGGTACACGCTGCGGTTCAGGGCCGTAATTAAAGTTGACGGAAAGTGTATCGGATATAAAGTTAAGAAACCGGTTTCCGAGGTGAATAATAATAATAGGTGATGCAGTCCCCAATAAATAATGAATTGGAAAAAATATATAATAATTCAAGATGGCCGCCAAAGCTACATTTAAATGGCTTTAACTCAGACATTTTTACACTTTCAGAGCTGAAATTGGGGTGGTTGTAGCCAAGAGCGTTCTACAAAACATACTGAATCTAAATCAAAAATCCAAGATGGCCGCCTTAGCTTAAAAGAAAAAAAAGTGACTATCACCACATCGTAGAAAGCCGAGGAGGTGCAGCAGGTGAAGGACGAGTAAACCGATGAGGAGCAAGACGCTCACCTCTCTGAGCTCTCGTCGTCTGCTCTTCAATCTGCCGAAGCCTCTCCATCAGCTCCTCTTTCTCGCGCTCTATCCTTTCCTTCTCCTTCTCCGCAAGCTCCCGCTTCTTCTTTTCATTCTCCAGCTGCGCTCTGAGAACATTTGCAGACAAATGTCCAGATGTCTGAGTGACCTACTGGTCTTCAGTAAAGACCACAAAGATTTAAGGACTTCAACTGGAACTAGAGACGTTGCATTTCCTGCGTAAATGCACGTGTGAATGCCTTTTGCTCAATGATTATCTTAAAACAGCCGAATAGTAGCTACAAAAGCATAAAAAAAGCTTAAATTAGCAGAAGGAAGCAGAAAGAGCAACAAGTTTGCCCAATTAGGCTGAAAGAATAAAAATGAGCGCAAAAAGTTGAAAAAAGCTGAAATTGGACAAAAACAGCTAAATAGTAGCTAAACCACGCAAAAAGAAGCTAAAGTTACTAAAAGGAAGTGGGTAGAGCATGATTTTGCAGAATGAGGCTGAAAAAAGTTGGATTGATAAAAAAAAAAAGTGGAATTAGCTGAAAAAACTGAAATTAGCATAAAACAGCTAAATAGTAGCTGAAATAGCAAAAAAGCTGAAATTAGCAGAAATAAGCACAAAGGAGCATAATCTGAAATATCTGAAACAATTTGAAATTTCAAAAATCTGAAATAAGCAGAAATAAGCACAATAAAGTTGAAATGACCTGAAAAAGACTGAAATTGGACAAAAACAGCTGAATAGTAGCTAAAACAAGCAGAAAAAAGCTTCAATTACCAGAAGGAAGTTGGTAGAGCATGATTTTGCTGAATTAGGCTGAAAAAAGGTGGATTGATTTTTTAAAAAGTGGAATTAGCTGAAAAAACTGAAATTAGCATAAAACAGCTAAATATTAGCTGAAATTGCAGAAATATCTGAATCTTCCAAAAAATTAGCTGAAAGGAGCATAACAAGCTCAAATTAGCTGAAATAAGTTAGAAGAAGTACAAAAATGTTGAAGTAAGCTGAATAAAGCTGAAAAGAGCACAAAACGGCTGAAAAAACAGCCGAAATTAGCTCAACTAGCTGATTTTTTTTATTTTCATTCAAAGTCTATTAGGGATCGTTATCATCTACCAATATGCCAAGTTTCATCTGAATAGGTCTAAAAATGGCAGAGTTATCCTGGTTTCTCTATAAAACAGCTGAATAGTAGCTAAAGAAATGCAGAAATAAGCTTTAATTTCCAAAAGGAAGTGGAGAAAGCTTAAGTGTGCCCACCAAGGCAGAAACAGGCAGAAATTAGCTCAATAAAGTTGAAATTATCTGTGAAAAGCTGGAATTTGCTAACAACAGCTAAATAGTAGCTAAAACAAGCAGAAAGAAGCTTCAATTACTAGTAGGATGTCGAAGGAACATGTTTTTGCTGAATTAGGCTGACAAAAGTTTAAATGATTTCAAAAAATGTGGAATAGCTGATAAAAATGAAATTAGCACGAAAACAGCTAAATGCTAGCTGAAGTAGCAGAAATAGCTGAAACATCCAGAAATAAGCTGAAAGGAGCAGAACAAGCATAAACTAGCATAAATAAGTTTGAAGAAGCACAAAAATGTTGATGTTAGCAGAATGAAGCTGAAAGGACCACAAAACAGCTGAAATTAGCCGAACTAGCTGAATTGTTTAAAATTTTGTGCAAGGAAGCTGAAAGAACCATAACCAGCTGTAAACGTGAAACTAGTAGTACCAGGTTATAAACGAATCAAAAGTTATGAAGGATGTAAAATGACCTCCGTTCATTTTCAATGAGAGCAAATACGCCAGAAAAGGCTAAATATCTCAAAAAGCTAAAGTTGCACCAATACCAAAAGTCATAGCAGACATGTCCTGAAACAGCTGAATGTTTTGATGTATGACTTGTTGAAATGGCACAAAAACTGTGGGAGTAGTTGGATGCTGAAAAAGTGAATCAGTATAGTGTTCACACAAATATAAACAGAAAAACAATAGTGTGATTGCCTTGATGGCATTCACACAAATATAAACAGAAAAACAATAGTGTGATTGCCTTGATGGCATTCACACAAATATAAACAGAAAAACAATAGTGTGATTGCCTTGATGGCATTCACAAAGCTCTAAATACTGAGGCGGTCCAATCTGAGATGATGAGTTCAAACAACAAGAGCGCCCTCCAGTGGTGAGGGTCCTACCACCACCTCTGTTTGTAAATATCATCTATCGCAGCATAACAAACTTCCTGAAGTACCTCTCCATCTGCTTGTGGTGCTTCTCTTCTCTGGCCTGAGCTTTCATCTGCTGCACCTCGATGGTGTCGGGCTTCCTCCTCCTCATGTACAGCTCGTGGTTACCCATGCACAGCGCCAAGATGCGCTTGTTGATGCGCAGCCGAGGGGCGTAAAACACAAAGTCCTGGGGAGTTTCAAACAAATCAACAGTGTGAAGCACCTACTGCGGCGATGTCGGCGGTAACGGGATGAACCACTCACGGGAGCTTTTTTGTCGATGGGTTTGATGACGAACTTCTTGTCGTTGAACGAGATGTTTCGAATCTCGCTCCAGGGAAAACCGATCTTCGGCGTCAGTCTGGAGGGAATGAAAATAAAATGCCCGTTTTCAAATTGTTGAGCAAGCAAGATGCTGTACTGACAATTCCCAAAACATAACAGTATTTTATTTGTATAAGTCGCAGTTTCTTTGCATAATTTACATGCCCTGCAACTTAAAGGCCGAAGCGACATATTTATGCATTTTTTCCATATTCATAAACCAATTTTTGGTTGAGATATGACCGTTTTCGTTCATTCTGACTGAAAAAACAAATTGAGCAGTACCACTTCCAGCCACTTGATGGCAGCAGAGTTGTAATAGCTGTATGGCATGCTGTTGTATCATGTAATAGGTCAACGTGGCTAAAATGACAAATTCAAAAAAGTTCAAGACAAAAACAACTGGACTTTATTTATTATACTTTGTTGTTTTCTTGAACTTTTTTGAGTTTACCATGTCCTGGATGACTGAGAATTTTCACCAGCTATTAATGACTCAATCGGCCTGCCATAGCACTCCCCACCTTCATTCTGCTCGCTGCTTGGAACCGTCAATCCAGCTGCACTGCCCCGGCAAAATGCAGCTAATTTGACCATTAAAGTGCATTTATTAAGCAAACGTTAGACTGAGACACACGTTTACTATAATTTTGAACAAACAAATAATTATTAAGTGTTAATCTTGTTGTTAAAGTCCCCCCCAGCCACCATTTGGCAGCCATTTCATTTTTGGCACACCGGCCCACATTTCCAGGTTGTCAGCGGTGACGCGTAATATTTGCGACTTATACGGCGAAGCGACATATTTGTTTTTTCCCCCCACTTTATTAGACGTATTTCGACTGATGCGTGCAACGTGCACGGCAGAAAATACGTTATACGGCGGCGGCCATCTTGGATTTTAACGTGGCAACCCTATTTTAGAAAGGAACCTTTCTTGCGTCTAAATGCAGCCTCACCAAAATAAAAGTCTGTGCCCTACGTTCTCAATAACGGACGGTGATTTCGCTTCCTACTCTGACGACATTTTTTCCCCCATTTGGGGTCAATCCATGCGCCGGCGCATGATAGTTGCGCCCGAGCAAACGGCGGCATTTCTATGAAAATAGTGTAAATAACTTTGTTTGCTAAGTTTGAACACGTTTATAGGTATTACTGTTTATAATTGCATTTTGAGATGTAAAAACAACTCGTTATGAATGTTTGTGGCTTTTACAATAAAAAAATTATAATTTTGCTTCACAGATTTGATGTTCTCTGTGTGTTTCAGGTTCATCGTGTTGATACAGTCTGGTAACGGACTCCTTTTTATTTTATTTTTAACTAAACTGTCAATGCCTACATTAGCCGACTAAATAAAATAAATAACGTGAATTTATGAGTTACTTTATTTTTTAAATAAAAAAACCTCATCTCGTCTGTAGTTATAGAAAACAACGTGAAGTTTCTGAGAGGTTCAGCTGGGACTGCTGCAACGTAAAGAATAAAGATAGATTCATCGTGAAATCATTTAAAAAGACAGTTTCTTACTTGTCCTCGTGCTCGTAAATGTTGAGACCAAGAGCGTCCACGCCGAGCCACAGCTGCGAGCCCTTCTTGTTTTTGATCTCGAAGTAGTTGACTCCATACATCTCCAGGTCTTGGGCGATCTTCAGGTACTCCATCATGGAGTCCTCTCTAAGAACAGGAGATGTGTTTATATATTTACAGGGAACGTGATCAGACACAAACTGAAAGCTGTTGTTTAAACTGGACACACACCTGAGCATCCCTTTGTGCTCTTCATGCCAGGTCTGTATCCGGTCTTCCCACTGCTCCTTCGTCAGCTTGTGCTGCTCCAGAACTCTGAACACAAACGCACAACACGACGTTCACCTGGAGGAATGTCAAACTGCTTCCTCAACAGGAAGTCATGGCGCGCTCCCACAGAGGCGCAATGACATTTTCATTTTCCTAATGTGCACGACTCAGCGGACCCCTGAGTGCCATCAGTCACGATGACCTGCAGCAGAGTCCTGGTGTGGTCCACCAGACCATGCCAGCTTTATTTATAAAGCACTTTAAAAAAACAGCAGCACCAAAGAGCTGCACAGTTACAGTCAATAAAACAAACCTTGGCACGACCAATTAAAGCTCTGAAAACAAACAAAAACTTTAAAATGAATCCTGAAATGTGCAGCAGCCTGTGTGGCGAGGCTATAACAGAGGAAACGTGCAAGAACTGAACTGAATTATAGAAGAGGAAGAACATAAAGAGGAAGAACATGAAGATTTTTTTGATTTTTCACAAAACTATTTACATAATAATTTAAGTACAAGAAAAGAAGAACAGGAACAACAAGAACAAGACGAAGAACAAAAAAAACAAGAACAAGAAAAAGAAGAACCAGACGAAGAAGAACAAGAAAAAGAACAAGAACAAGAAAAACATCAAGAAGAAAAAGAAGAGGAACAAAACCAACAAAAAGAACAAGAAAAACATCAAGAAAAAGAACAAGACGAACATGACTATTTTTGATTTTTCACAAAACTATTTACACAATAATTTAAGTAGAAG